ACTTTACACAAGTGTGTCTTTACCTCCACGGCAGAGGCTCCGCCGAACCCCTGGGGTTCGACCGAACCCAGGTTAAGAACCTCTGCTCTAATCATATCCTGAATATTCATGTAATTTTACATCGATAGATAAATATAAATAAATCTGGAGGAAATAGACACACTTGCTGGATGGTAACAGATGAGCATCGTTTTCCAAAGTTTCATGACATTTCCGAATGATTTGATAAAAGTTCTGCTGAGTTGGATTGTATTTTACTCATCCAAGCATCAAACACAAACGGCTCTTCTATCCCTGAATGATTTGTTGAAACATGTTTGTGAACCTAAAGTGAAACTTTTTGTAAATATGTGTGCGCATATGCAAGGCTTGTACGTGTTGTCATTTCAATAAAAACAAATAAATAAATAAAAACTTGCTAAAAATAATTTCACACGACTCTTATGAAGAACGTCTTCACTCCTCTTCCTCTGATGCAAAACTCTGCTCGCTCGCTCGTTCTTCCTCGTCCGTTTGCACACGGATAGAAGGGACGCTCACACGTCTCTTCCTGGCCAGAGACAGCGCGATGCCTTTCTTGTAATAAGCGCATTCATTGATGAAGAAAGCGTAGAGCGCTTCGGCGCCCTGGTATTTCACTGTTTCTCCTGAGAACGTCTGGAAGAGGGGCTCTCCGGGGCGGAGCAGGCAAAAGTCTCGGTCCTGTGAGAGAAAGCACTTTGAGGTTTTAAAACCTGAGTAAAGTGAAACCAAACATGAAAATGGACATGTTCAAAGCTTAAAACAGTTGAAGCCGGTGAAGTATGAAAATGTCATTCATAAATGAATTAACCCACATTTTCTGAAACAAATTCCTGGTTTTGTTGCAACAGCAAAAAACCTGACATAAAATCATGAAGAAAAATCCAACCTTTACATGAGAGACGTTTAGTCAGCAGTTGGAAAATCAAAAGCAAAGAACTGTTACACAATCCAAGAAATTTCCATTTCTGGAAGTTAAAATTCGGCAGAAACTGTTAATAGATAATCAAAGAACTCCTGGTGCAGGAATATGCTGTGTCACAAAACGGTAATTTCTGCTTAAAATGGGAAAGACAAGAGCACATGTCATTCAGGTGAAGCAGCTGTGTGCTGAGCTCCAAAAACTCAGCAATTTTCTACAAAAATAAAAATCTTTGCCTTTTTACAAAGTAATATCACTTCATTTACTAAAAGTGAATCCAACAGCATAAACATTTATTTAGGTTGTTACAATGAGCTAGAGGCCTGAGTTGAGACTAATCTCAACCAAAACATGGTGACAATTTAAAGTTGGACACGTATTTTGAAAGAGAATAAAAGTTATTAAACCTGAATTTAATGCCTGCAACATGTTCAGAAATGTTAGTAGAGTTAAATCACGTTTTTATTTCATTTTTGTCAACCAACTGAGAAATGCCTTCACTCAGTCAGGCAGAGGCTGAACTTTGACTCGTCACCAAGTCTGTATCAATATTAGGCTTCATACGTCAAATGAAAGCAATTAAATGTTTTTACTGTTGATGTTTTCCATTCTCGTTGTCTTGACAGTGAAACTGTCAAGATTTTAATAAATTTGCAATAGAAAATAACATTTCTCAAATTGCAGTTTGCCTGCTTTTCTTTTGTTAAGCAAATTACTTCAAATAATTTATGAAACTTTGCTTTTTTTTGTACTTCAAATAAACAATAGCCTTTCTTGAATTTACAAAATTTTAAGATCATGCTGAGTAATATTTAACTTTTGTTTTGCTTTGTGACACCTAGAATAAATAAGAAACTGGAATAAATGTCTCTCTGGATACTTGAATGTGTTGTAACCTCACTATGTAAACTAGAATCGATCAATAAAACACACTAATCACTTCATTGAAGCCATAAAAATGTTTGTAAAGGAGATNATCTGTCACTGATGAGCTGAGTTTGCGTCAGAATACAGGGTCAAAAATCCCACTTTTCGTCCTTTGCGTTCCCTCGCAAAACTTTTGCGTTCCCTCGCAATACTTTTGTATTCCCTCGCAATAATCTACTGATCAGTTCATGCGGCATAATTGATACTGTAAGCTTTTCTTATGGTGGCCGCCTACTTTCTGCTTTAATACAAGCTTATAAGGTTTTTCCATGGACTATGGAGTTATTATCGCGGGGTAATCAGTCATCTGATTGTGTCTCTATTGTGTTCGTAGTCTGAATGGTTTAAAGGGCTGCTTTCAGTGCCGTTCCATCTGAGCCTGAACAGACATAAACATGCAGTAAATAAATCGATTTTCAAACATTTTTTTTTTTGCACCAAAGCGTTAATAATAATAAACACGTTTTATTTTTATAAAACACAGCAAACTAGTGGTGGTAGAGGGCCGCACTGGGTTAAGTCGGGGAATCTCATCTGTCCGTGTATCAATCAACTCCAAACCTCTTCTTTGTTCTGTCACAATTATCGAATTACTTAATTTTGATTATCATGCTCCAAACTTTGCGAGGACTGACCACCCAGCTCACCCACTTCCTCATAACACAGAGCCAGCAGCCAGTCACCTTCCCGTTCATCTTGATGACGTCACTCCCACATCGTCACGCCCACCACCAGGTGTCAAAGCCGCTGCTTCTGTCATATCAATACTTACTTATTTCATTCATAAGGCTTTTATAGAGCCTAATTGAAAACTTGTTTATTATTATTATCGCTTTGGCGCAGAACACTGATTGAAAATCGATTTATTTACTGCATGTTTATGTCTCTTAAGGCGAAGATGGAACGGCACTGAAAGCAGCCCTTTAAACCATTCAGACCACGAACACAACAGACACAATCAGATGACTGATTACCCCATCATAATCACTCAGAAATAGTCCATATAGTTTGGATGTATTTTTATTTCGTTCCTACTTACGGAACGTTTCGGTTTATATAATAGGTTTGTAGTGCCTTTCTATACTAAAGGAAAAGAAAACGTCTGATTTTTCACAACGAGATATTAACATTCCTGGAAAAACCTTACATAACCTTGTATTAAAGCAGAAAGTACGGTGGCCACCGTAAGAAAGGCTTACAGTATCAATTATGCCGCATGAACTGATCAGTAGATTATTGCGAGGGAACGCAAAAGAAAAAAAAAATCCCTGTGTCCCCTGGAGGGCTCCTGACTAACTAGCTCATTCACAAGTAATAAGGTATTTTTAATTGAATTGCCTCATGGGCTGGGCCTCAGCAGCTCGCCAAACATTTATTATCTAATTACCTCTTAATGATAGTTATTTACCTCATTA